AGTCGTAACAAAGTAGGCTTCGCTTCCCGCTGTCACCAGTGTAACGACCCGAGACTTCCCATTAGGTACAAGGTGCGTAAATGCACATGTTCAAGTCAAAGAAGAAGGAATGTTATCTGAAGGCCAGGCCTTATGCACAAGTACAAAAACAATGCTAAAATAATCGATAAGTGTACAAGTAGTCTCAAAAACAAAGCATTGCAATACTAGATGGGGAGAATTATATTTGTACTTCGTACGCTACCGCCTTACTACCATAGGCAATACCCTATTTCTCATGTATTACTACTTGTAATCTCCCCGAAACGCCTAGCGAGCATCGTATAAAGGAAATGTCTTTGAGGAAGCAACTGAGGAGGGCGCAAACAGCGAGGGTAAGGCTACAATATGGCAGTTAGTTTTGGGTGCTCTAAGGAAGCCGACCTCAAATCCTTGCCAGTACCCAAAATGTGTTGCACTTGAATGTTATCTGTTCTGATTTCAGCCACCTCATTAAGGTTAGGATTGCCGCAAATCGGTTGAAGAATAGATCGGGTTTGCTTGGATAATGCAACAGGAGTGTGCCGCTAATTTATGCGACTAGTGGCGAAGCTGATCTACTTTGATATTGCATAGGTGAATCTACTCAAAACGAGTCGAAGTAACATTATTCCAGTTCTAAGCAATGACGATAATTGTGGATAGGTCTGTGCACCTTTAGCGCAATTTATTAATTACAATTGCATAACCTTCTGCAAATCTTGGAGTTTACGGACTTGGCAAAGCACGGCTTTAAAATACAGTCGTGCATTGCAACTCGCATTACGTTTGTTACACTGATTGCTATTCCATACTTTTGAAAAGATATTTCATTTTTTAGATGAAATCTTAACACATTTATTTCTTAACCTATGGAATTACAAAATGATCAAAACATGACTTTGATTGGTTAAGGTGATTTGATCCAGCAACCTCATTGCTCATTGACGCCACTCTGAATGAGGGTGTAGTCGATTGGATGCCTACGGTCTCAGTTTCATGCAATTGCGGTAGCGCAATTCGTGTCTGAACTATAATTGTAAATCAAAGTTGAAGATCGTTCCTCTGCCTCCCCAGGTAGATAGTTCGAGTGGTTGTTTCGTCCTCAAAAACAACATCACCGAGTAGCGTCTATACCCTCCTCACTAGTTAGTCGGCACCGATTCATCATTCACCATTAGGCCGTAAACTAGAAAGAGATAAGAAAAGATGGCTCAATACTCGCCTTCATTTGGGAGTTTACACCACTTGCCTCACTTTTATCGATTGGTTCCATCCATAGTGCAGCCTGCTTGGCCCACCAACCAGTCCCATCCCCGATGCAAATATACATATGCCACAACAAATTTATATGACTGACTGAGCAGCCGGATGGCAAGGTTTTCTCCGAATCACAGTCCCTCACGCCTCGTAATCTCCCATCGCCGGCTTTATACCCATTCTGACACGACCCACGACCAATGCTCTACTTTTGCGTTAGCGGCCCCAAACTCGTTTCTGCCACTCATGCATTGCCTAACACATCTGGGCAACCGCTTTCCGATCATGGGATGATCATCGAGGCCTGCTTTTAGTGGAACGATGTCCTGGAGCACAGCATGGAGGCGAGCCTAAGTGGACTAAGACGAACAACAAAAAGCTCCCCTCTGCGGTGGCCATGGCAATCCATGTACAAGGGCCTTCCAATTGCTCGCTTGGAGGGGCAATTTGCCGTAAGGCATTCTGGAGAGATCGAAAAGCGGCACAACAGCTCAACTTCCGGAAATCAACATAGTTGCTATGGGGCAAGCTAGACAGCCAGACCTCGTAAATAAGTAGCTATGAACTAGCGAATTCCTGGACGGTTTCGTGAGGAAGCAGCCACAATACGATTAAGAGAGGATAAGATGTCCGAAAAAGGGAGAACATTTACAAACATAGCCATTGAGTGGGACAAACGCGGCCTTGAGAGGAGAAAGTGCAAAAAGGACGGGGGGAGGGTAAAATGATACAATATTGGTGGAAGTAGAATGTGGTATACGGACGAAGTTGCAGCAAAAAGATGAGAATGGTGACAACAACGCTTCATGATGCACGCGTACACACATAATTCAGTTCGGCTGTTTTTGTCACAATGACTGTGGGGATATTCGTAAACTGGTTGTTGAATAAAGCCAGTGAAAGGTGATGGAAGGGTGTGCTTTTCATCCCTAGGTTGTCGCTGATGTGACAACGGTGTTGCCGTTGACAATGGCCACCTGGAGGCGGAACAGAAATCAAATGACATTTAAAATTACCAAAGTCTCGAACAGGGGTTGATGTCAGTGTTGTTTATGTACCTGGATAGACTGAAGGCAAGCATATCCACAAACTGGTGAGTTACACAACTGCCCCCAATAGCTCTGAGAGAGCAATCAATCTCGTGATTCGAAAAAAGGCATTAATGGGTACAGGTGTGTGCAAAAAGTTATTGGCACATACACACGCGGAAAGAGAAGGAAAATTGAATTAGATATGCCTCACGAAACGGCTACCGTTGGAAGTAGCGATTGGCTAACACTCATATCTTAACAGAAGTGAATGACGGAGTAGTGTCAACTACCTGGCCAGAGAAAGGGACTAAGAAGGTCTGCCCAGTGGCAGTGGAGGCCATGGTGAGGTGGGTGGGGGCACCAGCTGTAGCACCAGCAGGAGCGGTAGCGCCCGGCTTCAGTTCATTTCCTTCAAGCGTTGCTGCAACAACCTGTTTTACCTCAGTTCCCGCTGCTCCCTGCACCTCAATGGTCGTGGTTGCTGGTACGGCGGAGGCACCATTCAAGGTCACCTGGCGTTGGGTCATCGCAGCTGCAGCTGCTGCCGTGTTAAGAAGGTTAGGCGAGGCCGTTACAATCACTGTGCCGGTGTGGTGGGGGTGCTGTTGTTGCTGCTGCTGTTGCTGTTGCAGGGTCGCTGCCAGTTCAGCCGAGGAGTTGATAATGCTGGAGTCGATCTTGATGGCCTACGTTAACGTAAGCACAAAATTTGCATGCCAGAATCGAAAGTCATACCCACGCAATCACTAGCGTCTTCGCTTGACTCAGCTCCCGGGCAAACAAAAAACCTGCCACTTATCCAGACCAAGATTACTTTTTTATGTTAATTGCTCTCTACAGTCAGCATAGAAAAGTGGAATACAACAATTTATATGATATAAACGACTACAGCCTTCGACTACCAAAGCATTTGAAAGATTTTGACTCCGTCGTGGTGTGAGTGACCTC